AAGTTTTGTTAGGGGCCCTAAAAAAAGAAAAAAAAAAAAACACCCACCAAAAAAAAAAAAACAAAAAAAAAAAACCATTTAATGTGACATTTAAGGAAGGGAAAAATGCATTTGACGATGACGAGTGAGGACCTGGATAGTGTTGACGACGCCGCTGGCCATGACCGAGAGCTTTCCGGCGACGCTGCGCACTCCCATTTTCAGCTGAGACATGTCGGGAGCGCTTGGCAGCACGTTGGTCAGGCGGTACGAACTGGCTGCAACAGGAAAAAGCCAAAACACACAACTCACATGATTACGGCGCGCACGTCACCACAAACGAGGCCAAGACACTTACCGGCCTGCTTCTTCTGATCGTCAAACAAGTCGGCTGAACTTATGGCAGAACTCCCAGCAAGTCTCTCCAGCCGTGATCTGGCTTCATACTGCCAACAACAAGCTCAATTTTTAAACTGAAAAAGGTATGCCAAATCAACAACCCCGCGGCTATTTTAGCCAACCGTAAACCTGCAATTAAAAACATGTCTGATTGAATATACTGATCAAAAAACACACTAATAAATCACAGGGTGTCAAATGCATGCCAAAGCAAAAGATGGCGCTACTACCCAACTTTAAAGCCATTTTAGCCAATCAGAGGGCTGAAGTAAGTCATTTTGGCTGAAGAAAAACGTGTACCTCTGTGCTGTCTTGCTTTCCAAAGTACATATCCGAAGAGATGGCTTTGACGTCCTGGCCGAACTTCTTGCGAGCTTCTCCCGTGTCGACGACGGGTGCCAGGTCTGATTTCCTGCGTGGGGCGGGCCTAGAAGCAGACTTTGTCTTCACGCTTGGTCATCACGACGGATGGTAAACGGAGTCTGAATGTCCTCACCTGTCATCTAGCGAGGTGATGGTGGACGTCAAGAAGAAGTCCGGTTCGGCTTTTTTGCTCCATCTGGAGGAGAAAAGGTCCGAAGAGTTGTTTTGGTCGTAACGGGACAGGATCCTGAAACGGTTTCAAAAAGAGTCGGCGTGTAAAATATGAAACACAAACACTTTTGCTCATATCCTACCCAGGGCTGAAGCTTCCCTCGTCATCGTCGTCATCACCGCCACCGTCATTGTCTTCGGCGAAACGCGTCAATTTGCCGGTCCTGGCCGCCAGGGGGCGTTCCTGCTGGATGATGTGCATGTCGGACGTCACCGAGTGAGACACTCCACTAGGGGACAAAAGAGACAAGTCAGCTGAACTATTATTTATGGAGCCCTTGAAAAACAACCATTGCTGCATTCAAAGCACTATACGCAGAGTCAAACGCCGCCACTCTCGCGCACCTCCTGACGCTGAGCCCCATTCCCAGTCTCTCCGCTTGCTCGCGCTTCTTCCCGTCCAGATTCTTCAGCTTCTGCTCATCCTTTTTCCTCTGCTGCTCCAGATCTTGGTAGGCTAGACGCATGGACGGAGCACTGCCAGCGCATCATTGGATATATTAAACACTGACCCCGACACAACATTAGGCACACAATCCAAGGGTATCCTCACATGGACTCCACGGTTTTCGCGTTGTTCTGCTTGCCGGCGGACACGTCCTCTCCCTTCTCCCGGAGCTTGTCTGCAGCTTGCGCTTTCTTCTCCAACTCGTTGAAGCTGTGACTGCTTACCTTCTGAGCGCCCAGGCCGCCTTTCTTGGCGGCCATCTGCCAGCCGGCACGAAACACACAAACAAGTGTTACAAAAGTCAGGCAATAAAGACATGGGAGCCGTCTGCGGATGTACCGATTTCTTGGCGGCGCCGGGCTTCTTCTTGAGAAGGGACAAAGGTTCTGGAAGAACAGGAAAATGTTGCATCATGCAGTGAAGTACAGCTGGAGCTATACCAAATATTTTTCTAGTCGATTATGCAACCATCAATAAATCGGGAAAAAAAACGCATTTGCCATTAGTAAACAACAAAACGTGCATGTCAGTTGCAGCCCGGTGAGTGACGTGGGAGCCAATGAATCTGAGTCCACAGTTGACGGTCGCACAAACCTGGATTGGCCTTCGGGGAAGCACTCAGCATGTCAACACTCGGGCCGTTCTCCGCGTTGCCTGACAGTTAAACGCAAAGTCACGAGACGCATATACAGACATATACATAATCATATCCATCATGAGACAAAGCTCCCTACCGTCTTCCTCTTTGCCTTGCGTCTCCGATGCCACACAGCTGAGGCTCATCTTGGCCATATTTTCCGGAACTTCCTGCTCACCGAGCACATAAGCACTTACCGAGTGTTGCTTTAATTCTAAACACCGCGACAATGGTTCGGGTTGTGCTACCTGTGAATGGAGGCTGAAGAAATCAACGTGCTTCTCCTCTGGTGATGCGCACGACACAGAACCCTGACTGTCCAACCAAAGCTGCGAAGATGAAATGTGCCAATCAAGAGATGATGACAAGACGGTATCGATTGACAGACAAATTATTGTTACCTCTGTGCCATGGGTTCTGGTGGCGTACGTGGCTTGCGTCTTGATCTTCTCTCTGTACAGCTGAGCGGCCCGACTGTTGTATTTCACATTGGCGGCGCTGGCCGTGCTGCCGTGCTGATTGAAGAAGGACACCTAGACAGGAAGTGATATCAGTACAGCGTCGTTTTTGGGCTCGCCTTGGTGCGCGCCTCTGCTCACCGCGCTGGCGTTGCCGCCCACTTGCATGCATCTCAGCTGGTACCATGACCAGTTGAAATCCAGCTCCGTGGACCTGTTGGTACAAAATAAGGGAAAACGGATGACAGCAGGAGCGCCAGCATTGGTCATCTTGCCCAGGATTTAAACCTCTTGAGGAAAATAAAAGTAAAACAATAGTTGGTGACCTTTGACTGAATCTACTAGAATTTAGAAGTTCATCTGGAACGTCTTGACAAGGGAAAACGGATGAAAGCAGGAGTGCCAGCATTGGTCATCTTGGCCAGGATTTAAACCTCTTGAGGAAAATAAAGTCAAATAATAGTTGGTGAGCTTTGACTGAAACTACTAGAATTTAGAAGTTCATCTGGAACGTCTTGATGTCTTCGGCGAAACGCGTCAATTTGCCGGTCCTGGCCGCCAGGGGGCGTTCCTGCTGGATGATGTGCATGTCGGACGTCACCGAGTGAGACACTCCACTAGGGGACAAAAGAGACAAGTCAGCTGAACTATTATTTATGGAGCCCTTGAAAAACAACCATTGCTGCATTCAAAGCACTATACGCAGAGTCAAACGCCGCCACTCTCGCGCACCTCCTGACGCTGAGGCCATGAGACAAAGCTCCCTACCGTCTTCCTCTTTGCCTTGCGTCTCCGATGCCACACAGCTGAGGCTCATCTTGGCCATATTTTCCGGAACTTCCTGCTCACCGAGCACATAAGCACTTACCGAGTGTTGCTTTAATTCTAAACACCGCGACAATGGTTCGGGTTGTGCTACCTGTGAATGGAGGCTGAAGAAATCAACGTGCTTCTCCTCTGGTGATGCGCACGACACAGAACCCTGACTGTCCAACCAAAGCTGCGAAGATGAAATGTGCCAATCAAGAGATGATGACAAGACGGTATCGATTGACAGACAAATTATTGTTACCTCTGTGCCATGGGTTCTGGTGGCGTACGTGGCTTGCGTCTTGATCTTCTCTCTGTACAGCTGAGCGGCCCGACTGTTGTATTTCACATTGGCGGCGCTGGCCGTGCTGCCGTGCTGATTGAAGAAGGACACCTAGACAGGAAGTGATATCAGTACAGCGTCGTTTTTGGGCTCGCCTTGGTACGCGCCTCTGCTCACCGCGCTGGCGTTGCCGCCCACTTGCATGCATCTCAGCTGGTACCATGACCAGTTGAAATCCAGCTCCGTGGACCTGTTGGTACAAAACAAGGGAAAACGGATGAAAGCAGGAGTGCCAGCATTGGTCATCTTGGCCAGGATTTAAACCTCTTGAGGAAAATAAAAGTAAAACAATAGTTGGTGACCTTTGACTGAATCTACTAGAATTTAGAAGTTCATCTGGAACGTCTTGATTCAAACCAAAACAAATAACATCATAAGAACGCAGCCATTGGAAAGTACAAAGCTATTTATGTACAAGTACACCGCCGTGCAGTACACGGACTCGTACTTACCTTATGAAGGACAAGTGCACCCCCAGAGACCTGTGTGTTCCCGAACAGTCTATACACAGGAACACGCCGTAGGTGATGCTGGCCCAACTGGGATTTTTAGCCGAGCAGTCAAAACAAGCCTGGAAATGAAAACACAGTGTACAAGTACAACGCTGTGCATTACACTGACTCGTACTTACCTGATGAAGGACAAGTGCACCCCCAGAGACCTGTGTGTTAGTCTCTCCGCTTGCTCGCGCTTCTTCCCGTCCAGATTCTTCAGCTTCTGCTCATCCTTTTTCCTCTGCTGCTCCAGATCTTGGTAGGCTAGACGCATGGACGGAGCACTGCCAGCGCATCATTGGATATATTAAACACTGACCCCGACACAACATTAGGCACACAATCCAAGGGTATCCTCAAATGGACTCCACGGTTTTCGCGTTGTGCTGCTTGCCGGCGGACACGTCCTCTCCCTTCTCCCGGAGCTTGTCTGCAGCTTGCGCTTTCTTCTCCAACTCGTTGAAGCTGTGACTGCTTACCTTCTGAGCGCCCAGGCCGCCTTTCTTGGCGGCCATCTGCCAGCCGGCACGAAACACACAAACAAGTGTTACAAAAGTCAGGCAATAAAGACATGGGAGCCGTCTGCGGATGTACCGATTTCTTGGCGGCGCCGGGCTTCTTCTTGAGAAGGGACAAAGGTTCTGGAAGAACAGGAAAATGTTGCATCATGCAGTGAAGTACAGCTGGAGCTATACCAAATATTTTTCTAGTCGATTATGCAACCATCAATAAATCGGGAAAAAAAACGCATTTGCCATTAGTAAACAACAAAACGTGCATGTCAGTTGCAGCCCGGTGAGTGACGTGGGAGCCAATGAATCTGAGTCCACAGTTGACGGTCGCACAAACCTGGATTGGCCTTCGGGGAAGCACTCAGCATGTCAACACTCGGGCCGTTCTCCGCGTTGCCTGACAGTTAAACGCAAAGTCACGAGACGCATATACAGACATATACATAATCATATCCATCATGAGACAAAGCTCCCTACCGTCTTCCTCTTTGCCTTGCGTCTCCGATGCCACACAGCTGAGGCTCATCTTGGCCATATTTTCCGGAACTTCCTGCTCACCGAGCACATAAGCACTTACCGAGTGTTGCTTTAATTCTAAACACCGCGACAATGGTTCGGGTTGTGCTACCTGTGAATGGAGGCTGAAGAAATCAACGTGCTTCTCCTCTGGTGATGCGCACGACACAGAACCCTGACTGTCCAACCAAAGCTGCGAAGATGAAATGTGCCAATCAAGAGATGATGACAAGACGGTATCGATTGACAGACAAATTATTGTTACCTCTGTGCCATGGGTTCTGGTGGCGTACGTGGCTTGCGTCTTGATCTTCTCTCTGTACAGCTGAGCGGCCCGACTGTTGTATTTCACATTGGCGGCGCTGGCCGTGCTGCCGTGCTGATTGAAGAAGGACACCTAGACAGGAAGTGATATCAGTACAGCGTCGTTTTTGGGCTCGCCTTGGTGCGCGCCTCTGCTCACCGCGCTGGCGTTGCCGCCCACTTGCATGCATCTCAGCTGGTACCATGACCAGTTGAAATCCAGCTCCGTGGACCTGTTGGTACAAAACAAGGGAAAACGGATGAAAGCAGGAGTGCCAGCATTGGTCATCTTGGCCAGGATTTAAACCTCTTGAGGAAAATAAAAGTAAAACAATAGTTGGTGACCTTTGACTGAATCTACTAGAATTTAGAAGTTCATCTGGAACGTCTTGATTCAAACCAAAACAAATAACATCATAAGAACGCAGCCATTGGAAAGTACAAAGCTATTTGTGTACAAGTACAACGCTGTGCATTACACTGACTCGTACTTACCTGATGAAGGACAAGTGCACCCCCAGAGACCTGTGTGTTCCCGAACAGTCTATACACAGGAACACGCCGTAGGTGATGCTGGCCCAACTGGGATTTTTAGCCGAGCAGTCAAAACAAGCCTGGAAATGAAAACACAAAGTCTTGAAAGTACCGAATTGAAATGAACTTTTGATACAACACATCAACACGAGTAAACGCTAAGCTAAGAGGTAACAGCTGTTGCTCGCATTTGATCACACACAATCGAACCGACCAATAAGCACACACGTAGAACAACTAAATGTTTTTTTGTTTGTTTGTTGTGTTGGGAACCTTGAGAACGACACACGAACAAAAACAATAATCAGCTGTCAACATATACGCTACCCAAGTTCAACTTTCAACCACAGAGCACAGCTGCCAACTAATTACTCCGAACAAAATTCCTTTGAAGTGCAAATTCGCAGTCAATGTATCGAAGAAACACAAACACAATCGCAGGCTCGTTATTTGGTCTCGTCTTGCTAACTTTTATGTTAGCCGTGGCGATTCTCGAACTGCGACGTGTCAGACGTTAACTTACTTCCTTGTTACGAGGCAGGAAAAGTCTTACCTTATTCGTGGGAATGGAGCGAAGCCGCTTGAAAATGGCACAAATGTCTTGCTTGCTGGGTTCCGCCATGATTCTTTACACGCGTGTGAGGTCACAAGACGGCGAGAAATTAATTGGAAAGGTGATTATGTTGAATTCTATCCAAAGTGACACGTACATTTTAGGAGGGGGGAAAACAACCTAGGTCGCCTGTGATTGGCTGAAAATGACACGTGGCTGTGTTGTTTTGCAATGCTTTATGGGTAATGGAGTTTGTAAAGCTAACTTGCATTCAAGGGTTAAGCTTCATTAATACTTTATTTAAAGAGTTGAACACATTTTTAATTCAAGTGACTGTTTAATGGTAAATGTTTTTTCCTCACTTTTAGAAAAGCACGCAAAAATGTATAAATACCAACACGCCAAAGTCAACTCAGTACTGCAATAAATTCATTTATTATGTTGTGTCGGACAACATTTACAAACATGAACTGTGCAAATGACAAAGTGTGTGTCCTGAAAACTTGGCAAAACTTGGAATTCATCGTTGCTGCATTTGAAGGCATCAGGGTTAGCTTTTTTTTTTTTAAGTTTTTTTCACAAAATCATGGATACACAAAGCAAATAAAGAATGTCTCCCAGAAAGACAAGTTTGTCATCAGAACTGATAATAATAATAATAATAATAATAAAAAAATATCTGTAAAAGGATGTGGAATTAGGTATCATATCAGTAATGATTCACATAGTAGCCTACTAATTGTTTGTAAGAATTTGGCCCCATGTAAAAAAGGGAAGAAAAAAAAACACACAGGTAAGAAGGAAAATAACACAAAACATTCCATTTTGGACAAACTGATTCTCAGTCAGAGCATTGAAACAGAACAAAAAGGACTTCAGAGTATCATAAATTAACAATTATCAACTTCCTACCATTCCAAAGCTTAATTTGTGTCATTAACATGCGCCGATACAATACCATATTTCGCTGCGGTTGTATGGCCTTAAAATATCTTCCATCCTTGGAACTGATGTGGCGCTTCAAGCCTTGTCGGATTATTCAGTGTTGAATAAAATGGCAAAAATAACAATAATAATAATAATAATAAGAAGAAGAAGAATACATTCAATAATAAGAAGAAGAAGAAGAAGAATACAATCTATCGTAGAATCAAAAGCAGAGAGGATTGTATGTAATTAGGTCAGTGGTTGAATGTACAACAACAGCAAAGACTCGGTGGACAGGTCATGAACAAAAATACAATCAGTGAGTTTACATTCAAGTGCAGTGCCAAAGGAAACCGCCACCCCGAAGTGAACCACACGAGGGCGCTATTGGACAAAACTCAAGTCGCGTGAACCGCGCCCCCCTCCCTCCCCTTATCTCCCTTTATTTATTATCAAAGTCCATTGTGTGTGTAATGAGACATTTCATCAGGCCCAGTGTTAACTGAAATTAACTTGATGAGCGTGAGCAATTATTTGTAACAGTGTCAACAAGTGTCTTTTAATGCCAAACTGACGCGATCCTCCATCTTGTGAAGGCCTAACGAGGTCATTTGGGCGAGTCCTTCTCTTGTTCTCTAACCACTCCACACGAAGACACGGGTATACATTTGCGAGAAAGCCGCCTTGAGCTGTTTTACTCACTTGCGGTCATCATTAGATGTCCTCCACGTAGTTGGCGGGATAGAGGCCAACCTGGCCATCCTTGAGTCGACCTTTACACCAGCCCTGGTCGTCCTCCTCGCCGATTTTGGTCAACTCGTCGCCTTGGAGGAACAAAGACCAGATCAAGTTGGAGTTATTTTGGAGTTGACAGTTATTCCCTGGAATAATCAAAGATGCCAGAGTACTGTCGAAATAGGAATTGGTGCCAAGGAAGTCTATCGTTCGCCCCCAAATAAGGAGGGATAGGGATCAAGCCCTGGCCCACAAAAAGGCTGACATGAAGTTCCTCAACACACTTCAGCATAGTCGCATACTTTTATTATATTACACCGTGCTTTGGCCTGAGCACAAAAGAACCACAGGCATCAGGCAGGAGACGTACCCGCTTTAAAGGTGAGCTCGTCCTGTTCCTGACCCTCGTAGTCGTACAGCGCCCGGACGGGTACCGACACCACCGGCGAGGCCGGTTCATCCTCAAATGGGTTGCCGTCGCCATTTGCAGAGAAGGGGTTGGCGGTCGTGTCCTCGTCCGACCAGTCCGGGGTCCTCTCCATGCTGCTGACGCTGGGCACACGATATGGAAGATCGCCGTTTAGACAAAAAAGATGTGATGGCGTTAGCCACAAGACACAAAAAGCCATCGTGGTGAATCCCGATGTATCCACTGGGCTGCTTTTGCAAGAGGAAATCATCCATGCTCGACACGGAGCAAAGTGACAAAAGTGTCGGACGATGAGACAATCAGGCACGTGGAAACAAAGGCGCAAGCAGATCACAAAAGTGGCGGCGTGATTGGAGCCGGCGGAAACTTTTGGGCAACCACCACCGGAATGTCACCCGCCAACATTCGCAACAAAACAGCACGTCAATAAATAAACAACAAGGAATGGTTTACGGTCAGATCTGTTTCCAGGTGCCAAAATAGGTGAAAGCCATCATGTATTTCAATTTTTTAATCATGAGTTTTAAATTGAATTGGGATTTGACTTTAGTCATCCCACGGTTTGGAGTCTCATTTTGTATTCATATTTTACCTTGTAATACACTTATTCCTGCAATAACACAAAACGGCTGCCGCAGTGTCAGATCTGACTGTAAGCTAAGGCAACGTTCATACTGCAGGCAAATGCGACCCATTTCTTTGCTCATATGTGACTATCTGATTTTTTCATGAGCTCTTTTTTTCAAATGCGGCCAGGGTCAATTTCATCCAGTATGTCATCCTGAATCAGATTTTTATCCGATTTTTTTTTTTTTGCAATATGAGCTCCGTCTGAACGGCCGGAGCATCAAATGAGGGGTTCAAAAAGCCTCACCTCATTTCCTCCAAAATATTTCTCCCTCCTCCCGCATCGCTTCTGTGTACTATAGATAGGAAATGAACCCCTGTAAACACGACGTCGTATCTTCTTCTGCGCATGCGGGTCACTGAGAGGGCGCATTTGGTTTAAGACCTGTAGTCTGAACGTAGCCTAAGAGACAATAGCGGCACTGTGACGTTCTGCAAGGCCTGTTAGGAATCAATGACACACACAGAGACGTAACCGGGCCGTGTGCTTGTGCGGCATAGTGGGTTACTGTGCACAGCGCCACCTGCGAAAGGATGCAAAGACGGAAGGAGCCAGCAGAGTCCATTGACCAAAAGAAAAAAAAAAGAACCGGACAAAAAGAAAAGTGCAGGTGCATCCACCAACATTTTCACTTCCTCCTTTTTGCCACTGATGTGGTTGAGTGCGGGCGGCGTCTCCTCCACCACCTCCACCTGCACTTCCCGCTCCTCTTCGTCTTCGTCGTCGTCCTCATCAAACGGGTTGACACCCGCCGGCGCCGCTTTCGCAGGCACACTCGGGCTAATGGTGCGGGACACAGTGAGAGAGTGGATGCTGAGCAAGCCACACACACACACACACACACACACACACACACACACACACACACACACACACACACACACACACGCACAGGCGATGATGACTGTTTTCCACTGGGAAAGCTCTCGCATTATCCCTGTGACTCACTGACCATTGCAGAAAGCCCCCAAACTGGATGTCCAATTGCAACTCAGCATCGCCTGACCGGCTGCGGGGAAGCCGCCTCATCCTTTCCGCCACTATCCAAGCGAGCTGAACACTACTCTTCAAAATGAACTGCAACTCTTTGGCGTTGTGCTGCCCGGGAGCATGAAATAAAATGAGAACTAAGGTGCCGATGATGATGATAACTTTGAGTGTGTGTGGCTTTAAAGCTGTCCAAAGAAATTTTGTTTGGTGGTATCACGAAAGGATTCTCAAATGTAAAATATGAGCGCCTTAGTAAAGGTGGGGAATGAACCAACTTGCAATTCAAAGTTCTACTTTAGTCCTGTAGGTGTCAGTGGTGCACTTTTACTGTCAAGTGTAGCAGATCATCAAAAAAACAAACGGAGGCCAAAAAGGCATTTCCGCCATCTGTGGAGTAACCCTGCAATATTTTTCACGTTGTCGTTTATCTGTCATTAAGGAATGGAAATGAACGGGCTCAAATGTGGAAAAGTGAGGACACCGGCATGTAACTACAACCACAACAGTCGTCTTTGTGCAGGCGCACTCGAGTGAATCCTGCCAAGTTATCACATCAACACGGCTCCTCCAAAATGTAACTTTGCTCTTGTTGCAGTCAACAACGCCGACTCGTCTCGTCTTCTTCTCAGATACAAACACATCTAGAGGGCGAATGCTTCCCGTGGCTGGCACATTCCTCATGTTAACTCCTCTTAGGAAATCCGACACTTGAGCAGGAGTCAAGTTCGTTTTCTCGTGCAGGTGTTTAAAATTGAACATTCCGCCGGCTTATCGTCGCGCAGCGCCACAGCAACATTTCCACATTGCCGCTTTGGCACGCGTTCAACTATGCACCGAAAGACGTCTTTCCCAACAAACTGCGACGGCGAGTGTTTCCAGTCGCTGGGGAAACAGCTGAACAAGCGCCGCGTCGCACCCCGAGGAGCGCGTCTTACGTAACCGTTTGTACACATTCCTGCACAGGATGTCGCCATGTATGGTTCAGAGATAAGCTCGCGCGGCGGGGGAGTGTTTGTGTACAGGGAACAGCGACTACAAAAAAAAAAAAAAAAAAGTTGCATCATGTACCTGCTGTTGTTGGTCTTGAGAGGCTGGACCGGCTGGTCGGCTCCGGTTTGACTGATACCCGTCAGCGTGACGCCTTCGGAGGGCTTCTTCGTCCCCCGCCTGCTGAGGCTCCGGTTCAGGTCTATGGACCAGTCCTGTGACGCAGAAACACAGCTAAACGTCTTGTGCTGGAGGATCTTCTGCAGGCAGACTTCTCAAAATAACAACGTGCTCATGAGGTGCAACGATGACAACAAGCTAGCGCAGTGTACTCCAAACCAATAGGGGGCAGCATATTTCCTTTGGATGAGCACAAGCGTGTATTCAATTTTCGCAGCTAAAAGTAGTCCCCATATTATTGTACATTTCCTTCACCTGCTGAAAGAGAGGAAAAAAAAAAAAAAAGGAATCTCTCCGCCACCAGAGGTGAACTCGGGAGTCTGGAGTCCCTTTCACACTGCCGCCGTCCCGGCAAATTTTCCGCATCAGCGCCACAGCAGTAGGCACGACAGAACCCAGACGACTGTTGCGGCTTCCCGCATTTGGATGATTAGAGGCGTGGCAAAGCACAGGCCAGCGTGAAAGGGGTTTCATTTCTTTCGGCGACCATTCGGATGCTTATCCTTCATGTCTGGCTTTGCCGCGGTACCGTGTGACCAGTCGTGTCGACGCCCCCGACTCGCGAGTGAGCTCGTGTACTCCCAACACCTCACCATGCACACGAATCAAAGCAGTAAGGAGTGGGAGTGTTAAGTGTGAATGAAAAAGGATTAAACGACCCCACCCTCCCTTTCCCTCCCCCTTTTTTTTTTCGTGGCCGCCCACAACACCAAGAGCGGTCATCCCATGCAGCACTCACTACAATGGACCTTCTCTTAGAGGAGCGAACGTGCGACCAGTCCAAGTTCTGGAGGAGAGGGAAGGCAGGTGCACAACAGGATTAATGTGGACTAAGTGAAAAGCAGAGGAGGCAAATCCGGGTGGAGAAAGTCGACACCCTGCCCGGTTTGGAAGCACCAAAGCCAGACTGCGGTGGGGTTTGGGACTTTCTGGACCTGGATTTGCATCCTCCATCTGGGTGATCCTGCAAATTCCTGGACCTTCAAGGTCTTTGCTTCCCCTGCGGCCAACTATCAGAATTGAACAACAGCGTGTTACCTCAAATTGAGGCCAGTTCATTGGCATGCCGGGGCCGTGATTGGACCGGAACCATTTCAGGTCCTCCTCTGCGTCCGTGGCGCCGATCGTGTCTTCCAGCGTGTGGTAGATGGTCTGGAACCTATTTAGAAGCATGTTTGTTAGTTTTTTTTTGGGGGGGGGCAAAAAAAATTGACTGCGGTCGCGCGGAGAGCCGACTTGTGATTGGTGGAGAGGTCCAGGTGTTGCTTGACTTCCAGCAGGAGGTCCTTGAAAAAGCGAATGCGCTTGTCTTCAAACTGCTGCCACTGCTCAAACACCTGCTCCATGTTCTCCATGTACTGAGGCGTCAGCTTGTCCAGCTCCTCCAGGGACTTTTCGTAGCGTTCCTTTGTCTGGAGAAGGAGCAAGTGGCCCGTTTATGGAAGGCGCCAGTCGGCCATGGAGCTTGGAGCTTGGAGGGGGGCGGAGGGGTACCTTGTGCGCCTCCTGCTGGCACTTCTCCACCTTCTCCTGGAGCTTCTTCTGCACTTCGGGATTGTTGTTGCTCTCCAGCTTGCTGTTGGTCTCCCGGCTGGCCGCCAGCTTCTCCTCCTTGCAGGCGGAATGGTACAACTTCTTCATGGTCTCCACCTGGGAAATGGATTTGATGGTTTCAGTGGAGGTGTTGTGTTTCTCGCAGTTATGCAAAGGTGGCTCCGTTTTAATGAATATTATTTTCAATGTTGTGTCCAAACATGCTGCCAACTCTTTTTGACGACGTGCGATGCTTTGAGTCATTGCATTTTTGTACTGATTATTATTTTCAAGTTCCTCTTCCCATTATTTATTGATTTATTTTCAAACAAGAGATTAATCTGTATTACAATCGAAAATATCAGATTTACAGTACGAATCAAAAGTTTGGAAACACCCTTTAGTTCCCCAGTGACAGTCCGTCCTTCACCGGCGCTGTTAATAAGCCTCATTTCCTCCCAGAGTTCTGCCACTTGGGCCTCAATAAATCTCCATTGCGACAAATCTCGGAACGTTCAAAGCAGGGCCAGGATGTCCCCGCCCCCTCCCTTGTGACATCACACGCGCGCACAGGAAACGGGGGCTCGCGTGGCGCGTCAGCTCCGAAGCAACTAAAGCGGAGGACAGAACTTTGAAGCGCTGCGCTTCTCGTCAGCTGCACCTTGCCAGAATCTAGAAGCCATTTGGCAACAGAAAAGAGGCTGCAGGAGTGCCGCAGTAGCATGTAGCGAGCACAATCGCGAGTCAGTCAACGTCGAGACTGCTCAGTCACGGGCCACTGAGTGACTATGCGGCATCTTTGCCGCGTACCTCTTTGAGCTTCTTGGCCCAGGGCTTCTGCGCCTTGCGGAAGCCGTCGTCGGCCTCCTTGGTCTCCTTGAAGCCGCCGATCATCTGCTTGTGGTAGGCGTCGCGCTGCCAGTTCTTCAGCTTCTCGTAGTCTTCGCCCATCAGCGCCGCCTTCACCTCCATGTGCAGCTCGCTCACCTTCTCCGCCTCCGTGCACAGCGATGACCACGCCCGCTCCAGCATGCCGTACTGGGGGCCTGGCGGAAGGGAAAGCTTTTGTTTTCAGTTTCACCCACCCAAACACCCCACAATGACCAACCGACCTTTTTCTATGAGCTGCCTCCAGCGCTTGCCCCACTCGGTCAGCTGCTGTGCGTACGACTTCTCGATGCGCGCCCGCTCGTGGATGCAGCTCATGAGGTCGTTGCAGAGCCGGTTGCCGTCGTCCACGCGCTTCACCGTGCGCTTGTAGTTGCCCACCTGAAAAATGGTGGAAAATCTCAGCTCGGTGCCGTCTTTCACATTCAAGTGCGGGCAGTCTATCCCGTCTGGGGTGCTTCCTCACCTCCCAGAAGCTGTCGCTGGACACGTCGATCATGGAGTCGTCGTAGGAGCCCGACATGGCTGCCGCCCAAGTGACAAGTAGCCTGGACAGATGCAGGAGCAGATTGTTGGTTTTGTTTTTCAAACCAACTTGTAGCAAAAAGTGAATCGGGCTATATTACTCTTTAAAATGCGTGCGGGAACGCTTGCGCTTCCTTCAAACCACAGACTTGTCTCTGTTTGCACCCCCCCTGACCCCCTTTCTCTCCTGGTGTCTATCAATTGAAAAGCCTCTCTTTATTCCTCACATGCACTCGTTCATCCTCACTGCAGCTGCCCTGCTCACATCCAAGACATTTCTTTGCCAATTTTCCGCTTAATCCCAGTGTTGATAACAACCTGGGACAACAAGTCTGCAATAGAAATCTGTGATTTGACACACACATGCTTGCCAAATGGGAGCTGACCGTCTTTCCGGAGAGGATCCGTGTGTGTGTGTATGTATGCGTGCGTGTGTGTCTGTGTGATGCTGGCTGGTCAGTGACCCGTGGTGCGCTGGCCAGCCTGCACAGTGGGTGTTATTGTGGCTACACGAACACCTCGTCAACACACACACATACACACTCAACACACAGGCGTAGATAAAGATTCAAACACACAAAGAAAAGTGATTGTTAAGGCCTTACTCTATTCCTGCGGCCACATCAGACCTCATCAATGGCCAAGAGGAACCAAACGTGATTTGAGCCGCGAGTGTAAATATGGTTGTTGACTCAGCGAAGGTCTGAAGTCCAGAACCTCGCGAGGAAAATTCAACAGCGTGAGAAAACGCCACGGTGAAGGTCGGGCTGGGTTGCACAGTTGTCACGGCTGTGATTTGCCAAATGTGAAATCCCATCAGTGCGGCACTTAATTGAATTAGCCTCCAAAAACTGGCCGATTTCTACTTCATGGATTATGGAGTTTAGCCATGACGTAATCCAACAAAACAATGACGGCCACTCGAGGCCCGGTGTCATAAGCCTGATGGAATTTTGGTGGACTAAGGACTCAAGATCCACCTGGGAACGCTGAATGAGTTCCCAAGTTGGTGTTTGATATGCGAGTCTCACATTATCAGGCGATTAAAAAATACATATTAAAATAAAACACTTAAGTAGTGGGAGGGAAATGAGATCAGTGGTCCATTGAGGCCCAATCAGACTTGATGTGAATATTGAAAGTCGATCTCAAAACAACAGCCACTGGGGATTACAAAAAAACCCCAAAAAACTCAAATATCCAGGAGGGCAAGTTACATAAGTAAACAAGAATAATAATTTTATCACAGCACAGTTAAGAGGAAGTGCTGTTTCCACTTCCTTCTTTTGTTGCACAAAAAGCTGAGCTGATCCGTCCGGAGATGTTGCTAAATCTCCAAAACACCGAAAAGTGCACGTTTCCATGACAGGGCAAGATTGTGACCTGGGTTAGTGGGCGTCCCTTTGCAGCGAACCCACTTTGCAACACAATGCCATTTGTTCCGCGCAGGTTCAAGCATTTTCCACTGCGCTCGCCAGAACTACAAAGAGCAAGAGAATGAAGGAGGAAACTGTGTGACATGGCAGCCGGGGGGAGACCAACAGGCTGGCCTTCTTTCCTAGGGAAGCCCCAGTATCTCCTGTGATGCGTTTCATGACCTTTTGGCACGTTAGAAAACTTTGCTTGCCTTTTATTAACCACTGGTTCAGCTGATTTGGGTCCACTTCTTAAGCTTTTCGACCACCACACAGAGAACTTGCACTAAAACACACAGACATTTCACTTTTGTTATTGTTCATATTTACCAGGAAAAGGGAAGTGATCTTGTACTACTGCTTGAATAAAGCAACACAACACCACAAGGCTAACAAGATCCCAAATGTGAAAAGGAAGACCTCAAAGACGTTGCATTGTTATTGTTGTGCAGGTGTTCCCAATGTTTTGTCCGGTGAATGTCAAGCAAGTAGTAGGGGGGTGGGGGGGTAAAATAACAGGACATGGAGCAGGAGGTGAAGCTGCCCCGCCCTTCATCACTCCACACAACTTGTTTCACCTAATACTGATAACTTTATCATTGACTGAACACTGCGTTGTCTTAACACCCGGGTTGATTCGACGTCATGTCTGTCAAGTCTTAACACTCGTAATGTCATCCAACTCCGGCAGATTATTTTTATGACTGACTTTTTCGCATAAGAGGTTGGAATTTTGTGAAAGTGTCGCAACTCAACTTTCAGTCTCATTAGCCGTGCCCCGCGCTCCCTTCGCTGTTAGCAAATTAGCCACTGCCGTTTCAAGAAAAAGTTAAAACTAAGAAAATCCGCGTATCGCTGTCCTCTTACCTCTTACGGGTTCGCTCAAATCAATGACTTTATGTCCGGCTGGCTGGTTAATTTCTCAGTCGTACTGCTTTCAAAAGTTTGTCTCCTTTTTTTGGAAGAAGCGGTCGCATCAGCGATCGACTGACTGACACCGCAGTCAGTTGCCCCAAAATGTCTTATAACGCATCCGGTTATTATCGCTGTCCATTCCAAAATAAGACGAGTCACAACGCTCGTTGCGTTTTACCAGTGTATAACAGAGCCGTGGCTTACCGGAAGCTTTACTCTGAAAGACTCAGGCTTTCAAGAGACAGGTCTGTTATGGCGTCATATCCGCCCTGAAAGACTCTTGCAGGTCCTCAATAAGTTTCTATTGAATCATTTAAGTGTCAATATAGACACTCTTTAACCTTAACATTGTTTTATGACGATCTAAATACACTAGCTATTGAGTAATTAAGCAAATAACCGCACCCAACTGACTAAACAAGCCTTTGTTTTCTAAATATCGTCAAAACAATGGAATATCTCATCTTTTTGTAAATCACTCAGGACGCAAAGGCATGTTGAATAATTTTATAAAGCAGATGCATTCTCCGTGGGCAAACAAAATCACATTCCACAAGATAGTAGTCGGCAAATGAGGCACAATCCAACTTAAAAACAAATAAAAAATGCATTTCTTTTCAGTCCAAGGATGAGCAATGATGTTAAAAAAGTCCATCACTTCCAGGTAGCCGCGGCGGTGCGGATGGCGCCGCTACCCTTGGTGCCCTTTGACCCAAGCGACTGACCCGAGCGGGTCCGCAAGTCGGCGTCGCTCTGTGCTTGCTCTTCGTCGTACCTACACACAGGACATTGTTGAAAGAGTGACCTTCGATAACTCAGTTGTAGAAGACTATAGTGATGATAACAAGTATCCTTAGGTCGGCGCTTCAAATCTGGCTCAAAGAAATCATTTTGATTCAAACCATGAACTTTTTTGATGGCCACGTTCAATGGTATGAAGCGTAACGGTGCAAAAGGTTGAGTAGACTTGATACATTTAAATAAAAAAAAACTCCTTCGAGCCGGATTTGAACCAGCGACCTAAGGATTCCTGTTAGTGCCTCTACAGTCCTCCGCTCTACCAACTGAGCTATCGAAGGCTGCACGAAGAGGCTCACAATTCAGTTTAAAGTCATATCAGTCTATACAGGTCGTTTGCGCCCTCTGGTGGCAACGGGGCCGACCTCAACTCTGGTGACAACTGCAGCAACGAGTGATTTCGAGGACTCACAGAAGTTCATAGTTCCCCAGGGCGTCTCTCGGCGGACTTCGGTTCCAGCGGCTGTCCGGCATCTCGCCATTGGGCGTGACAATGTTCAGGGTGTCGTTGATGAGGTTGTACTTGAGGATGCGGTCATTGGCCGTGCTGGATGTCAGTGAGGGCGATGCGTTGACCTGTAGAAATATTTGCGTTTGCATATCTCAAGTGTACGAGAGTACACAAACACCAGTTCACCTCGAGTGGTTTGGTGCCTTTGTGCCTTTGAGTGCACTAAAAGCGGTTTCCACCATGAGCACATATGTGTTCACTGTATGTGTTCAAACAAAGCTCTCCCTTTGGGGCATTTAAAAGAATGTCATGTGACTGTACAAGCATCGCTGGCCTCTGCACTGTATGCTTTGTAAAAACAAAGTATTATTGTAGCTTTGGTGATAAAATCTGTATTAAAGATGGTGCTTTTTTTGCAGCATGTTCGATGTTTTTCTGATTGTTTTTTTTCAGTTTTTGTCAACTGTTTATGAAGAAATGCCATTTTTATTAATGGTCTTTATTTATACACGGTAATTGGACATGGAAAGATGATTGTGAATATTTAAAAAACAAATAATAAAAGTTTCCTTCGAGCCGGATTTGAACCAGCGACCTAAGGATTTCAGGGAGAGCCACTACAGTCCTCCGCTCTACCAACTGAGCTATCGAAGGTGATGACTTTCGGCGCGCACTTTAAGGTTCAAATATACAACTATACTCGTCAAAACTAACGACAAGCTGTCAAATTGCCAGGAAAATGACAGATATTGTCTAAGTGAAGCTAATTGTGGCAAAAGCGCCCGTAAAAATAGCTGCGCTCCGCTCCGCGGAGCTTGCTAATTCATTAGCATCAGTCCTCACAAACGAGGCGGATTTAAAGGGGAAGTGTCAGCATGGTCCCATTTTCTTTCATTTTTATTTTTGTTTTTCATGGTTAACGATTTGGACGGTATTTTTCATTGGTTGTATTCCTCCCTGCGAAAATGAAAAAAAAAAAGTTAATTTTTTTTTTTTTTTTGCTTGAATGTCCCACCTCAATGAGCCAAGGCTTGAGCTTGTCATCGATGATGATGTCATACCCGTAACACTCAAAACAATGCTTGTCATTGTTCATCACAGGCTGGAAAAGATAATTGTGTGCAAAACATATGAATGTGAAGACTTAGTTTCAAAAAAACACGTTCCGCTTTAAGACACACACACTCACAGCCACAGCCTTTAAGGACTGCACCACAATCCAGTGGATCTGGTCAAAGAGGCGGCTGGTCACCTCCTCTCCTCTTGTGCTCTCCAGGTACAGACGCAGGTTACCCACAGTCCACTTGCCGCCGTGGACGTGGTTGTAGTCGTCCTGGGTGAATGGACAACATCGGAATGACACAATGACTAATTATGTCAAATTGTGTCCAATATATCCCAAGCCTTACGCCATGTTTCTGGATGGCCACGTTGGTGAGATGCACAAACATGTTATCCAGCTCGCTTGTACTCGGCGTGTACTTCACCGTGCAGAACCTACAGAAACCGAGCTTGTACCTGACAATAAACAGGACAAAAAGGAGTCATAAAAAAAAGAGCATTCTTGTAAATAATGTGAATAGGGCGGATGGAGTCTTACATGTAGCATTTGAGTGGCCGATACGTGGTGACCAGCACGTACAGACGCAGGTCAAACTTTTTCCCACCGATCAGAAGGGGATTGTCGATGTATAAGGAGATGACGTAGGCCTCCTTGCCACTAGAGGCTGCCATGAACCTGCATCAAAAGGAATTTAGAATTTTGTAAAATATTAAACCAGATGCTCCAAGTCAATACCCTTCGATAGCTCAGTTGGTAGAGCGGAGGACTGTAGTGGCTGATACTGAAATCCTTAGGTCGCTGGTTCAAATCCGGCTCGAAGGAATAATTTTTGAACACAAATAGATGCCTCTTTTGCTAGCAAGAAAAAAAATGCTCTCTCGTCATTGTAATGAATTCACATACAACCTTAAAACTGACATTGAAGAGTCAACTGTGAGCCCCTTTGCACTGATTTGCTCACCAAAACAACAGTACCTGCCAAACCATTTAAAAAAAACAATCTCCTGTTTACATTTGGTCACTCTGCGATGTTGTGTTTGAACTGACTAGCTAGTCGTTCTTTGTAACGTACGTGGAGGTGCGACTGTCCCGCGACCACTTTTTGATCTGGGACAGTTTGTTGATGAGGAATATGCCTTTGCCCTGCGCCTTCCCGCACGGCTTCATGATCCACGTACTGGACGGATTCTTGCGGAACTCCTCCACAAAGAGATTATAATCCGCCGGGAGCATGAATGTCACTGGGACAAAATCTAAAGGAAAAAAAGGAGTAAATAACAGCTTCTGAATGATGTTGGACGCTTCCTGCGCACGCTTGTTTTACCGAGATGGATGTATTTCCCGTTGTCATCCTTCTCGGCCAGCATGCTGCTTTCCTTTTCCAGCTCCTTGCGGTAGCGCTTGATGTTTTTGATCATCAGGTCCTTCCTTGTCAGCTCGTAGTGGTTGGGAAAGTGGTTGACCATCTGCTCGTCGGTCAGACGGTAGCCCGTGTCCACGCTAAACACATTGCGGATGGTCTGGATACTCATCCTGTCATGTTAGAAACATGTTGCAAAACAAGGTTCAATATTAATGAGAGCTGATGCAATGGTTGAAACATATGCATTTAACAAAGATAAATGTGTATCTGGGATTATTTGCATTTTATTGGATATTATATGCGTTGTCTTTATTACTTGTATTATAGCTAACATCATGTTCTTTGTTTAATGTTGCAAACTACAGTAGTTGTAACCACAGCACCTCTGCTGGTGGCAGCCCCATTCATGCAGCTAAATTAGTTTTTTTTAAACACCGTACTGTTCAAGCTGAAGCACAATAATAAATGATTAGAATTATTATTGTGAGTTACCAGTAAAAATTCCAGTCGTCATTTTCCGTCACTTGAATCCAGTCCCTCTTCTCAAAGTTGTTAATGAGCACTGACTTTTCAATATCTGTCACCCACTTCACCTTTCCGGCCATGTTCCCTCCCACTGAAAGAACAGGTGAGGAAACAGCTAAAAATGACAAAATAAATAATTCATGCGATACTCAAGCTTGTCTCACCAGTCGATCAACGTGAGCAAAGAGCCAGGCATCAGTGGTGCTCTCTCTGACTTGCAGGATGCTGCATCCTCCTTCCGGGACACCACCCTCGCTCCTGCACGTCCCTGGTGCAGCCTCACCGTTCTGACATCGGCTCAGGTCTCGGTCACTCGGAAGCTCCAGTTATAGAAAGAAAAGCGACTCCATAATGATCGCAAGTTAGCGCCTGAAGGAGCTATTTATTGATCCGAGTGACGCTATCGGAGGGAGTGACGACATGAATTGCTCTTCATAATAAAAGCTAGGTGGAACATTTTTTTTTAATATGGTCGGAATATTTCTGTTAGCTGAATCCAAGCGGCTTTAAGAGAAGCGAGCGTGGCCTTAGGGTAGGATGTTTTTACCAGGATAACCTAGCAACCAAGGTCCAATGACAAACATTACTTCAGTCCATCTGCTGGCGGAAGTATAAACCTCTACTTCAAACGAAAAACTCTCCAAAAATAATGCACAAACACCTGTAAAGATCATTTCCAAATTAAAATGTAAATCAAACGCATTTTGAGGATGTAAATACCGTTATTTTTATTTTTCCGTGAAAATTAGAAAGAGAAAGTAGTGGGACTTCCGGTCATTCTAATTTACAAGAAGATGGAATTTTTTTTTTTACATTTAAATTATATTATTATTCGAAATTATAATATTAATTGTATTCACCCCACAGTAATGCGTCCTGTTACTTATTTTTTATTAAATAAGCGTCGAAATTATGTGACAATAGTGGGCTTCCGGGTTGCCGGAAGACAATCTACCTAGCAACAGAATGCTTCCGCAAAGGGACAAAAAAATAGAAATAAATCGTTTTGAAAGTCAAACTATTAGGTAGTAAAATACTAAAATTACTAAAAAAATGTTGTTGCCTGTTTTCATTTATTTTACTGAATAAATACTGGATTGAAAATACAATGGTGCCGTGACATTGCAACGAAACACTACCTCTGAACCTCCGCTAGAGGGTAGTGTTTTACGGGGGGGGGGAGTGGGTTCAACACCCCCAAAAGCATCACAATGTTTGAGCCTCGCTGTAAAATGCCACTTAAAGACATAATAAAAACAATTCTAAAATGATATATTGTTTTAAGATGAAATTTGTGGTGCGTAAAATTGTGCCTTTGTACATTCATTTTAATGTGCATTTTAAGATGAAATGCAATAAAATATTGTACAACGAAACATGTGATTACCTGTACTGCGCTTCAAAAACAAGTCGTATATTTCCCTCCTTCCTCATGAGCCGGTAAAGGCGTGGCCAAGCGAGGTCTGTGGCAGTTACCAGACAGCAACGAGATTAAAGGACGCTGCTGTAGGTTCACGGAAAAGAATACATGCAAAAACATTGTGTTTGATACACATTTCTAATAATAATGTTGTTGTGTTTCTTACAGGGCGGCGTCCATTTAATTCTACTGACAAGGTATGCTTACTTTTTTTTCTTTTCATGCTTGGGCACGTGTGCTCACTTTTGATTTCCAAAAAGGGCAAATTTAGTATAAAATTAAAGTATTATCCATAAGGCGCGTAATGTGAAAAGTGTGTATGATCTTGAAGATGACCTTTGCACATGGACAATGACTTCATACATTTAAATTATATTATTATTCGAAATTATAATATTAATTGTATTCACCCCACAGTAATGCGTCCTGTTACTTATTTTTTATTAAATAAGCGTCGAAATTATGTGACAATAGTGGGCTTCCGGGTTGCCGGAAGACAATCTACCTAGCAACAGAATGCTTCCGCAAAGGGACAAAAAAATAGAAATAAATCGTTTTGAAAGTCAAACTATTAGGTAGTAACATACTAACATTACTACAAAAAATGATGTTGCCTGTTTTCATTTACTTTACTGAATAAATATTGAAAATACAATGGTGCCGTGACATCTCAACTAAAACACTACCTCTGAACCTCCACTAGAGGGTAGTGTTTCCCAGTGGGGGGGGGGGTTTCAACACCCCCCCCCCAAAAGCAAAAATTGAATATTGTTTTAAGTTTAAATTTGTGGTGCATAAAATTGTGCCTTTGTACCTTCATTTTATTGCTGGGGCCGCTTATTGTGCATTTTAAACTGAAATGCAATAAAATATTGTAAAATGAAATGTGTGATTACCTGTACTGTGCTTCAAAAACAAGTCATATATTTCCCTCCTTCCTCATGAGCCGGTAAAGGCGTGGCCAAGCGAGGTCTGTGGCAGTTACCAGACAGCAACGAGATTAAGGACGCTGCTGTAGGTTCACGGAAAAGAATACATGCAAAAACATTGTGTTTGATACACATTTCTAATAATAATGTTGTTGTGTTTCTTACAGGGCGGCGTCCATTTAATTCTACTGACAAGGTATGCTTACTTTTTTTTCTTTTCATGCTTGGGCACGTGTGCTCACTTTTGATTTCCAAAAAGGGCAAATTTAGTATAAAATTAAAGTATTATCCATAAGGCGCGTAATGTGAAAAGTGTGTATGATCTTGAAGATGACCTTTGCACATGGACAATGACTTCATCTCTTTGTTGTGACAATAGGCGCTGTTCAACTCATTTACATGCCGTAGTTTTTTTCCTTCTGACACCAGATGACTTTCTGAGTTATAAAAGCAGTGATATGAGTAAAAATAACCTATTTTGATGGTTAAAAATAACATATTTGGATGGTTTGTACAGCACGGCATAAGCAGCAGTTGAGTTATGGAAATGGGAAAATTTGCATCAACAGACAGGAAGTGCTTGGAGAGCAGGTGCATGTATGGCACATTACCGCTATTACTCTTTTTAAAACGTCCTCCCCCAAATATTTATTGATCAAACCTTAAAAATCAGACAGCGTTAAGTGGTACGGAGGCACGTACGTGACCTGCAATTGTTGCGCCAACGCATGATGTCACCTTTCTCGACGAGCCTGTTTGGTCAGGACGGGGCGATAACAACGCCGCCGCCAGCCTTGGTGTTGACACAGCCTGTTTGAGAACGTTACGCACACACTCGCACGCACGCACACACACGACGAGACTCCGCATATTTGGTGTCTCTGCAGCGAACAACATGGTGGAGCAAATACGAGCGCCGAGACGCCCCGCCAACGCGGTCGTCGCCTCATCGAGCCCCCAGGCAGGACCTGGCGATGACATCACGGGCCATCTGTTAGATGGCACCTTCAGGTTTTTAAACACAACATGGATAGTGGGACAAAAGTCATTAAGTTAGCCTTTTTTTTTGGGGGGGGGGCTATTATTATTGCGCTATTATGATTCATTTTGACTAAACATGTTTCAGAAGCACTTTACAGTGGGACAAAAGTCATTCAGTTAACCTTTTTTTTTTGGGGGGGGGGGGCTATTATCATTGCGCTATTATTATTATTCATTTTGACTAAACATGTTTCAGAAGCACTTTAACCATCATTTTTCACCATCAGATTTCTTTCTGCACAATTGTGTTGTTGTACGGCAGGAGCGTGAGCCGGTCCGCGCGGTCGGTGGGCCGCCAGCTGGCCGCCATCGGGGACCAGCTGGACCGGAATCGAACCCAGAACCCACGGGTCCATCGAGAAGTGCGGCGTCCATTATGGGGCTTCAGGATTGAGAGCGGGGCATTCTGGGTAATCTCCAGTTCCAATTCATTGCTGTTGTGTTGTCTTGTGACATCTAAAAGTGTTTTGTTTTGTTTTTTCCAATCACTCCCAGGTGTCCAATTTTAAACCGGGAAGTTGCAGCGACCTCACCGGAGGAGCGCTTCTGACGGCGGCTCTTTTGCTTCTGGGTTGGCAGAACAGGCCTTAAGCAGGACTTTTGGCCACAAAATGTGGGACATTTGCGCTCCTTTTGGGTTTTTACCGTTTACTTTGCTTTATATTTGACACCAATGTGACAAAAGCACAAAAAAAGTTGTTTTTGCACTGTTTCTATCAGCTTTTACCTTCTATCTCTATCTTGACACATATTAGCATGTAGCATTTTTTAAAAAGTTTTGTTCAAAAGTATTGGGACGCTGGACTGTCTTTTCTAACAACATGAAGGGAGCTGGACTTTCTGTTTTTAACCAAATAAAATCACTTGACTGCAAATTCAACAGTCTCTTTATTAAAAAAATAAAAACAAGTCACTTTAGTTCAGTGATTCCAAAATGATACGGCGGGGTAATTTACCCAATTCCACGAAATTGGTCCAAAAGCGAACAATTCGTCTTAAATTCCCACCTTCTGCATCATCAGTGTTCGTCATCGTCGGCCGGGTCGACGTGCGCGTAGCCTTCAAAGGCCTTGCGGTTGCATCGCTGCAGCGTGGCGCCCAGCTGCCGGCCGGGCCCGACCTCGTAAACGCGCGGGAAGCGCTGGCCGCGCGCCCGCTCGAACATCTCGTGCAGCGTCTGCTCCCACTTGACGGGCGCCGTCAGCTGCTGCGTCAGCTGGCGCCGCACGTGGCCCTCGCTCATGTAGCGCTTGCCGTCCACGTTGGAGTACACGCTGATTTCGGGACGGCGCACCTGCACAAAATAAACGCAGAGCTTTAGCCTGAGCCAACCAAACAATATAAGTCTCACAACCTCATTGGAATAGGTAGCAGCAGTTGAGTCCTAACCTCCAACTGCCGCAGGACATCTTTGAGGGGCTCGACGGCACCGCTCATGAGCTCCGTGTGGAAGGCGCCGCTGACGGGCAGCATTTTGGTTCTGAGGAAGTGCAACCGCCTGGCGTTTTGCTGCAGGAAGTCGAGAGCCTGGCGGTGTCCGGCGATCACCCTGCCGTCAGGGAAGAGGTAGGTGGCCACGGCGCACACGGGCTCCTCCACGCCCAGACCGCGGCAGTGCTCCTTGGCCAGCAGGCAGGCGTGCTTGTACTGCGCCTGAGATTTGCCCGCCACCGACAGCATCCCGCTGGGCACCAGATCCGACGCCCGCTGCATGGCCTCGGCGCGCACCTTCACGGCGTACAGAGCTGAAGAAGAAAAAGCGGTTGGTTCGGATGCTGGTGACGAGGGCACCGAGGGTCATTTACCTTGGGCAAAGGTCATGGCGCCGGAGAAGACGAGCGCGGCAAACTCGCCCACGCTGAAGCCGGCGGCGGCGACGCACGTCTCGATAGCCTGTCAACGCAAACGTAATATTTGGCAGAAAAATAAACATACTGAGGGGCTAGCATTTGTCTTATGGCCACATATAAAACCAAAATAAACATGCACTTCAAGTTTGATTATTTTTGGAATGATTTTTTTTTAAATGTCATCACTATAACAATGCTCACTTTTCAGGCTATCGTTTTAATTCAGTTTGTAACATAAATCCGAAATCTTAAGTCTTTACTTTCGGGTTTTGGTGGTTGAGCTTCTCCACGGCCGCCAGTGAAGTGACGAACACCGCCGGCTGGCAGTGAACCGTCTTGCTCAGCTCCTCCTCGGGACCGTTCAGGCACAATGACAGCAGGTCGTAGCCGAGGATCTCCCGGGCCGCCTCGAACATCTCTCCGACGTTGGGGTACCGCAAAAGCCCACGACCCATGCCCACAAACTGGCTGCCCTGGCCGGGGAAAAGGAGCACGGAGCGGTCCCCGGGATCCTTCCAGGATCTCTGCTCAGCGGAGGTCTCCTCCAGGGAAAGAGGTGAGCCATTACCCGGCTGAATGGTGGAGAGCGTCCTGTGCTGGGGGAACCGCGGTCGGAGCTTGCGAACGGACGCTGCAACCAGTGACGCCAACATGAGTTATAATATAAGGGTGAAAAAGTGGAGAAAAAATAAACTGTCAACAAAATACGACATTTGGCGTGCCAGTAGCAGGACTTATTGGCTCGACAAGTAGTGCTACGGAGGCTGCCATGTTTGAATCTGTCACCTCCATGAGTTACATTGTTTACTTCCTGGTTTTACCGGTGTTCTCTTCCGGGTTTCTATTGTGTTTTTGTGTTGCCTTTGCTCCGACACCGCCATGCTGTGGAATGGCGTCGTTATTACATGCAAATCAACGACACGAAAAATGAAAAGCAGTAAAATAACGATTAAAAAAGCGCTAAAATTACGACAATAAAGTCGTGACTTGCATAGAAATACATAGATACTTTTTAGGGCATTAATGTGTCATCTTGAAGCAAGTTAAAATTAAATTGAAATGCCAATTTTATTCTCATAAGAAAATACTTTTTATTCTTGTAAAACTAGACTTCTTAGAAAGGATTCTTTTTTATTTTTCTCTAATGAAAGCACAACCATATTCTTCTATCAAGAATGATAGTTATTTTCTTTTTATAAATTCAGGGAGAGAAATAATCTGAGAAGAAATTATTGAGTAAAAACTCATTTACGAAATCGAAATATTTGGTTTATCATTATTTAATGTACTGAATGTTCTGTCATAAATCACTTGGCACCAAGAGGCCACATTGATGAACCATCAATTTTATTATACAAAAAAGAAAAAAAGAATGTAAATCTCTGTCCTCTTGGAATGTGTCCGTCATCACAGATCACGATGTCATGTCACTATAAATACCGGCCCACTGATCATTTCCACGTGGTCAGATTGTTCCGTTGGAAGTTTCCGTCGCGTCTTCCGAGTCATCCGACAGGTGTGCCGCTTCCATGCTTTCCTCCAGCGTATCCCGGTACTCAGCGGGCGCGTTGCTACTGCGAGTGCCTTGGATCTTGAACTTGGAGATGAACTCGTTGCTTGCAAGGGCACCTTCCTTCTTGGGACACAAATGTTTCGTGGGGCGACGTTCCAAACGGTCTACAAGAGACAGATAAGATCAGACGGTTACTTAGCTCATCTTTATTTTGTTTAACTCATAATAGTGGATGAGATTGTGTAAAAAAGAGCAAAGTATGTCGAGTGTGTGCACCTCCAGGGCCGATGGGCTTCATGAGGCGGTTCAGTTGGACGTTCCAGTGGCGGACATGTTGACTGGCGTTCCTCAGCTTCTCCTGTACTTCCTGGAATGCGGACCTCCGAGTGAGAATGGCCTTAGAGTACAAGAGTGTGACAGGACTGGGATATCCCCACCTCCAAGTGCTGGTGGCTCCTCTGCCGTGACGCCCGCAGATCCTGGAGCTCCAGGGAGGCCGACTGAAGGGCGTCGGGGGCACGGAGGTCGGCGTTGTGGTCGTGATTGTGATCCACGGCGGGGGCGTCGCCGTCCTCGTCGCTGCTGAGGCTGCGCAGGACCCGCTGCTGCTCCTGGAGGAGCTGGAACTGCTGTTTCTTCTCCTCCTCGGCCTCGAGCAGCCTGCGAGCGGAAGATACTTGTTGCTAGGCAGACTTGACCAAGGTGAAAAAGTGCATTTGTCAGTAAGGCCCACAAAACTGTGTGCGTGTGTTAGTGACCTCTCCAGCTCCTGCCTGGCTCTCTCCTCCTCCATCCGCGCCTGTATCTCCATGTTGAGAGCGGCCTCCATTTTGCGCTGCGTGACCTCCAGCTCTTGGATTCTCTGACGCTGCTGCTCGGCCTCCTTGGCCCGCTCCTGCATCTCCGCCCTCATGCTCGCCCTCATCTGGCACCACCACCCATCAAGTGTGCAATTTTTTTTCTCAAAAAGCAGAAATAACCCAACGAGTTAAAAAAAATAAAATAAAAAGTCAAACTGACCATCTGGGCCTCCTCCAGTTGTCTCTCCAGCTCCATCTGCACCTCCCTCTGCTTTCTCCTCTCCTGCTCCTCCACCTCCCGCCGCCGGGTTTCCAGTTCCCGTGCGTGCTGCGAGACACAAAACGTTTTGGTACATAACAACTGTCAATAAATCAGGAAAAATGTTGCTAATTGTTTTCAACAGCAAAAACAGATGCTGGCAAATGTCATTTTTTGAGGGAAGAAAAAAAAAAAAACACACCAAGATTAACATTCTGCTCCCATGGAGGATTTTGGGAAATGGATTTGATGGAGGCTGAATGTGGAGGTGTCCCCAATTCAATGTGCATAGCTCTGACCTGGATGATGTTCTCGATCTCCAGGTCCTGACGGTCCTTGTCGGTCCGCTCCGCCTCCAGCGTGCTGGAATCCTCCGATTGGCTGCTGCAGCTGCTGCGGGCACTGCAGCTGCGCTCCC